AAGTCTAAATGAATGGATTTTGAGAAATTTATATATAAAAGAATCTAAAACAGACCTTCAAAATACACATATAAAATACTCATAATGGCTCCATATTTTAAAAAATGGCTTTTCATTCAAGTTTTTAATTTGTTCTTTTCATTCAAGTTTTTAATTTGGTAATTATTTTTAAAAACTCTACAATCTGCTGTGGCTTTCACCTCAATTGAACACAATTCTTTTAAAAAATTGGACTTGCTCTCAAAGCACAAGATTCTCTTGGTATAACAAAATATCAAATACTATATTTCATCAAAGTATTAAAAATTTGATTAATGAACTTCAAGAAATAGCTTATTTTTGTTGCTACAACTACATTTGATATTTAAGAAACTAAACATCCGGTCTTCACTGGAATGCTCCAACACTTTAGTAAGAAAACATTTTTATTATGATTTAGTTTATAATGGAACTATTGTTGTTGTTAAGTGCTGTTGAGTCAGATCCAACTCATAGCAACACTGTATAGGGTTTCTGATGCTTTAAATCTCTGTGGGAGCAGAAAGCATCATCTTTCTCCAGTGGAGTGGCTGGTGGGCTCGAACTGCCAACCTTGTGATTCACAATACAGTGCTTATCTTATGCCCAGCACACTACCCAATGGAATTACACTATAATATAAAATTAATTTCCTCACTATAACAATGAGGCTAGTTGCTATGATTTCTGATTCATTGTAGTAGTGACAAAAAGTGCTTGTAATAGTTAAGAGGCTTTTTCAGTGGCGCTCTCATGTTTTGCTTCATATTTTAAGAATATGTTCTAGAATAACAGTTTTTTTTTTTTAATCATATGAATAAAATCCACTGCTGTCAAATCAATTTCAACTCACTGTGATTCTACAGGTCAGAGTAGAACTGCCCCATAGGGTTTCCAAGGCTGTAATCTTCATGGAGGCAGACTGCCACATCCTTCTCCTATGGAGTGGCTAGTGGATTCAAACCACAGACCTTTTAGCTAGTTGCCTAGTACTTAACCATTGTGCCATCAGGGTTCCTTGTCATAAGAATAAGAAGACTAATATTTGGATGTGTTCATGCAATAAGGCATGACAATAACAAATAATTAAAATTTACTAATTTTGTCCATGAGCAGCAGCTCACTTTTCATCCACTTCACTAACAGTATCTTGAAGCCTCCTTACATAGAGAAGTCAACAAGTGAAGAAGTTGAGCAGCACAAAACCCTACACGTTTTGTCTCATAGTAGATGCATAACAAATGTGTTGAATTGAATTCAAATCTCTGCTTTGTGAAATTAAGTGACATTATTCTTTGTTACTGTGTCTCATGATCAAAATTCTAGATAATGCTTTAAATGATTTAAATCTAGGCACAGTTTCTTTTAGAATTGGGTGGAGGGTGAGGGAAGAAGGTCAACCTTCCTAACATCATTTAACTCTATTTTAGGAATATTCCAAATACTCAGATTTCTAATCTCACTTCAGTTGAATACATTTGATTTACTTCATGTTTTATAATACTGCTGTGACCAGTCACCTCATTAAATAAACACTGCAAAAGAAACTCTATGCAGGCCAATGCGTCCAGGAATAACTGCCTCCCTTGCCTGAGACTAGAACTGGATGATGCCTGGCTATCACTACTGAACATTTTGATCAGAGTCTACAGAAGAATCCTGACCAAGAGAGGGAAAAATACAGAACATTATTTTAAATCTCTAAGACTTCAGACTTTCTGAAATCATGGAAAGTGAATTTATTACTCTGAGATAATCTTTAAAACTTTAACCAAAATTATCCCCTGAAGCCATCTTAAAACGGAACAATTGTTTAGTGTAACTAGTAAAAATGGTCTTCCTTGAGCACTATATTCTCTTAAGAACTACCTATATGGATCAAATTTACAGCAACAATTAGAAAGATTAGACAGGAACCTCAGGGGGTAATGAATTTCTGTTAATAAGGGAGGAACAACCCAGAAGAGGAGGGTGGGAATGGCTGCACTTGAAGAGTGTGGTGGTCAGTGTTACTAAATAGTTGATACAGAAATTGTTGAACTGGCATGTGTTTTGCTGTGTACATTCTCAGTAACAACAAAGTAAACATTTTTTAAAAAAGAATTAGTGCTTTTACATGTCACATATATATTAACAATGGATATACATTAAACCCATGGTGGTTGAGGTGTGCACCAAACCTGGATTTCTTGTTACATAAAACAATTTCTTTATTTGGGGTCGGGGGAGAAAACTGTATGTAACATGTCATTTAAAAAAATACTAGAGTCTGGGAGCCCTTAAAATCAGAACACAAAATAAAGACCACTGTTATTTATGTAGCTAAGTAATTGATACTATTATAAAGTTAAGCTTACAAATTAAATTAAAAAAAAAAAAACTATGGCAATGTATTTATCCAATTGGGAAAGGAAAATAGTCAAAACACAATTTAATAGCTTAGGAAAAGAGATGAGGATGGGCAACTCATAAGAAAACCACACCAGCCTCTCTCTGCTTGGCTAACTCTAGGACCACTTGGCTAACTCTACATAAATAACAGTCACTAAACTATACAGTACCCTGAGGAAAACATACTTATATACTAAGACTACAGAGATGAATAAATATGACCCTTGCTCTTGAAAAACTAAAAGTATAGTGGAAAAGATAAGGTTTTCTAAAGATTATAATATGGAGTGGTATAATGTGATAAGTGCTGACAAAAGCATAAACAAAGGACTATGGGAAAACAGAGAAGGAATGACTAACTTGCTCTCCTATCACCTAGAAAAGTGACTCTAAAGGTTTGTCACTTAATTTAACTATTTCAAGACTCTAGTCTTGGTGTGGTGCTGTAGGTTAACCAAAAGCACTGGACTGTTTACCAAAAGGTCAGCAGTTCAAACTCATCAGCTGCTCCTCAGAAACTCTATACAGGGTTGTTATGAGTCAGAACAGACTCAATGGCACATAACAACAAAAATTAAGATTCAGAAATGACTTATTTAAAAACACTCTAAAGACAAAACAAGGAGCCCTATGGAGGAGTTCTACTCTGTCCTATAGGGTTGCTATAAATTGGAATTGACTTGGTGGCAGTAGGTTTGCTTTGGAAAGACAGAATATGAAAATTAAGAGCCTCACAACATTTTCTCAATATTTAAGGGCTAAGGGAAAGGAGGATTAAACTCTGAAAATGTCTTTATAAACTGTGCTTTCTCAAAACTATGAAGGGTTTCTCATAGTTCTCAAGGTCCACAAAGGACATCTTTGTTGTTGTTAAATTCCATGGAGTCAGTTTTGACTCATAGTTAATAGGGTTTTCAGGGAGATGCTGGTGGGTTTGAACCTCCAATCCTGTTAGTTTACCCTACAGCAACACACCAGTACTGTTTACTCCTCTCAAATCTTCATCAGCCTATGGGGTCCTGGTGTGGTACTGCAGGATAAATTACTGAAATGCCAGGTCAGTTTGAACCACAAGGTCGGCAGTTCAAACTCACCAGCTACTCCTTGAAAGCCCTACATAGGTTGGAACTGACTTGTTAAGCTGGCACTTAACAACAACAACAACCACATCTTAGAAATCCTGGTGTGATGCCGTAGGATAATGCACTGGGCCACAGGGTCAGTAGTTCAAACTCACCAGCCACCCCTCTGGAACCCTATACAGTGTCACTGAGTCAGATTCCATGGCACTTAACAACAACAACTATATCCTAAATGTGTATCTAAGTGAAAAACGATGTGCTTTCTAAGCAAATATATTGAAGGGAAATTTGTTGTTGCTGTTGTTAAGTGCCATCAAATCTGTTCCGACGAATAGAGACCCTGTATAGGGTTTCCAAGGAGGAGCTGGTGAGCTTGAACCGCTGTCTTTTTGGTTCAAACTGGCTTTGCAGTCTTGCACATTAACCCATAGCACCATACCAGGACTCCACCTGAAAATTGTTGTTGGTGTTGTTGTTAAATACCATCTAGTCACTTCTGACCCTGTATAAGGTTTCCAAGGAGTGGCTAGTGAGCTTAAACTACCAACTTTACAGTTCAAACCGACTTTGCAGTATACAGCACATTAACCCACAGCAACATACCCAGACTCCTTATTTTAGATTAATAAATGAGCAAGTAAAGCAAAGGTCAGATAGCTCAAAAAAGAGTAAGAACATCAGAGATTCCTTTTTCTTGGACTTAGTAGTAAAAAAAAAAGATTATCCAAGACATTTTATGCACAGCATATAAAATAAGAACTTTGCTAAATAACAAAAAATACCTTAATTTTAATTAGAGAAAATAAGGAAAACGTAAATTTTCAAAAGAAAAAATGGTATATTGAGAAAAACTACGAACAATAATAACAAACACTGCTAATAAATCTATTGCTTTAGATTGTTTGAGACACAAAATTTTACTCTGCTAACCTGGTATAGCGCTTTGAGTTAATGCGCTAGACTACAAAGTCATCTGAACCAGAAGGTCAGCGGTTCAAATGTACCAGCTGCTCCTCGGAAACCCTATACAGGGTTGCTATGGGTTGGAACTGACTCAATGGCACTTAACAATAACAACAATTACTTATGTGGAGTACAGATCTGACACTGTGGGATAAGCGCTCAACTGAAAGCAAGATTGGTTTCAACCACAAGGTCAGCAGATCAAACTCCCTAACTACTCCTTGGAAACCCTATACAGGGTTGCTGTGAGTCAGAACTGACACAATGGCACTTAACAACAACTACTTTTGTGGGGAAAGATTACTATCTGGCACTGATTCAAATACTTATTGATTTTAAAGATTATGCGCCTAAAAAATTCTTTCCTGCCATTTATTATCCTACTAGAGATAATGCCAAATCAGGTTCATGTTAAAAAACAAAAATGATTTACAGACTTAATGTTTCAGCATTAAAATACACAAACACACATACATATAACATAATGAGTTGGGAGTCAATGGTAGCTAACAACAACAAATTATCAATGACAAGAAGAGAAATTACCTGATGATTTCTTCATGATACAGTGAACTAACAACTGGTCCGCCAAACCCAGCATTTGCTTCTTTACCTTTCTTCACTGGGGTCTGTGAAAATAAAGTAGGTACAGGGGTAGAAAAAGACACATGATTTAAAGCAATATGTATGAATTTAAGCCAGTCACAAAACATTACTTTGCTAAGGAGCACTGAGGGTTTTAAGGAAATGCATGTAATGTAACAGTTTAAGTGCTCAGAGCTGATAACCAAAGCGTTAGCAGTTGGCGTCACTATGAGTTGGAACAGACACAGTATCACCCAACTGCAATAAAAACAGAGGATTTACCTTTAATTATTTCCCCAAGGTCCTAATCACAATTTTAAGGTATATCAGCAAGTCAATATGACTCTCAGGTCATCAGCATAGTGGAATGATTCCCTACCAGTAATGTAAGGTCATTCTAGTACTATCTTCTGCAGTCCCTAAAAGGAATTTCCCTGACAAAAGAAAGAAAACGAAACATGAAGTGTATACATATCAGATATGAATGTGATCAGGAAAGAGCTTATCTAGGGTAACAAAACTGATGTTTCTAAAAAAGAAATAAACTATAGTAAAGGTTAAAATATAAAATGTAACCATAGATAAAAAGAAAATATTTTTAGATAGAAGGAAGGAAAAGAAGAGAGGGGGGTGGGAAAATAGAAAAAGAAAGAGAGAATGGTTTAGGCTCAAAATAAAAGCTTTAAAAGGGAAGAAAATTTATTAAGAGAAGAGTTTTCCAAAGTCAAAGATCCAATACACTTTGCCCTCTTTGTTCACAAAAAGCAAAAGCGTAAGATTAATATAAGACTCTTCTAAAACATATAATGTAGAAACACTGAACCTGGATATTATTATTGCCAGAAGAGGATCAAATTGCACTCTGCAAAAGCCCACTTTCCTTGCAATAAAGGCAGGATACCCTACAAAAGCAAAAATTCCGACTCAGCATAAAATACTGCCTTAGAATACAAATGAAAATCTTTTGTTTAACTTGATTACAAAAAAATCTTAATTCACTTCAAAAAGTACAGGTAATCTTCATATGCTTTCTTTCGATACTTTGTAAAGAAGGAGTTTGGCTTTACTGTTTCTTTAACTTTTTAAAAAATTACTTCATTTTATAGCAAATTAAATCTGTTGTTGTTAGGTACAATCAAGTTGACTTTCACTCCTTTGCAACCTCACGTGACAGTGTAGAAGCGCCCCACAGGATTTTCTAGGCTGCAGTCTCTATGAAACATACTGCAGAATCTTCTCTTGCAGAGCTTCTGGGTGGGTTTGAACCACCAACCTTTTGGTTAGCAGCTGAGCGCTTACCTGTTCTGCCACCAGAATGCCTTAAAATTAAATCTACAAGCCATATATATATAACCATTTGGAATTTATCTGAAAAATGCAAAGATGATATAAAATTCAAGAAAAATCAATATGAAATGTCTTCATTTACTACAAATGTCCCACTGTTCTTAGTTGCTGTTGACTAGATTGTAGTTCAAGGTGACCACATGCATTACAGAGGAAAGCTGCTCCTCCAGGTTTTCTTGGTTGTAATATTAATGGAAGTACACTGCCAAGGCTTTTCTTCTGTGGTACCGCTTGGGTGGGCTCAAATTGTAATCTTTTAGGTTAGCAGTTGAACACAAAGTTTGCATCACCTATTTCTAGCACCCTACAAAATTTGATATGCCGTATTTTCACTACTCAGTTCAAAATATTTTCTAATGTTTCATGAGATATTTTTTGAGAATTTTCAATCTTGTTGCTGATTTTTAGTTTCATTAAGTTGTAGCCACATAGTTCTGTAATTTCAATCCTTTAAATTTAGTGAGATGTTTTGTTATCTAGAATATTGTTTATCTTGGTTCATGTTCCTTATACACTTGCAAAGAATATATAGTCTAGTGTAGTTGGATAAAGTCTCTTATAAATGTTACTGTATCCAACTGTTGGTAGTGGTAGCAGTTGTTAAGTGTAGTTGAGTTGGTTCTGACTCATAGCAACCCTGTATAGAATTTCCAAGGAGTGGCTGGTGAGTCTGAACCACCAACCTGTGGTTCAAACTGACCTTGTGGTCCAGGTGCTTTATCCTACAGTGCCACATGTTCCAGTCTATCTCCTATATTTTCTGTCTACTTGGTCTATTAATTACTAAGAAAGAAATGATGAAAGCTCCAACTATAAATGTGGACTTGTCTGTTTCTCCTTAAACTGAATTGATGTTTACGTATGCACTTTGATGTATATACATTCAGGATTATTATGTCCTCCAGGTGAACTGACTCCTCTATAATGAAATATGCTTCTTTAACCCAAGTGACATTCCTTGTTCTGAAATATAACTAGTCTAGTTTATTTTTAAATAAAAATATTTTATTTTTTAAAAAGCAGTATTAGGTTTATAAAAAATTGAGCAGATAGTAGAGTTCTCATTTAGCCCTGCATCCTGCACACAGTTTCCCCTATTGTTAACATCTTGCAATAGTGTAGTATATTCCTTACATGTGATAAACCTATATTGATATATTATTATTAAAGTCCATAGTTTACATTAAGATTCACTTTATGTTATAAAGTTCAATGGGTTTTCACAAATGTATGAATCTTGTCGTCTACCACTATGGAATCATAAAGAATAGTTTTTACTTAGTCTATAAACTTTGTCTTTTTCAGAATGTATATAGTTGGAATTAAATAGTCTATAGTTTTCATAGACTGGATTCTTTTACTTAGCAATATGCATTTAAATTTCCTCCATGTCTATTTTGTCCACTGTATATCTTCTTTGGTAATGTATCTGTTCAGATCTTTTTGACATTGGTTACTGGGTTGTTTTCTTATTGTTTAGCATGACTGCCTTTGCTCATTTGTCAAAGCTCAGTCTACATTTGTGTGAATTTATGTCTATTTTATTCCAGTGGTCTACTTTTCTATTACCAAAACTACACTCTCTTGATTACTGTAGCACTATACTAAGTCTTGAAATCAGGTACTGTCACTCCTCCAACTCTGTTCTGAAATATCGTGTTGGCTATTCTGGGTTTTTTGCTTTTCCATATAACCTTTGGAATCAGTGTGTTAATATTCATAAGGTTGTTGTTAAGTGCCGTCGAGTCAGTTCAGACTCATAGCAACCCTGTATAGGGTTTCCGAGGATCAGCTCATGAGCTTGAACCACCAAACTTGTGGTTCATACCAACCTTGCAGTCCAAGTGCATTGACCTGCAGCACCACACCAGTACTCCAATTCATAAAGTAACTAGGTAGGATTTTGATTAGTATGGTGCTGAATCAAAAGGCACAAGATGAGAATAACAGGCATCTTTAAAAAAAAAAAAAAAAAAAA